AAAGTGGCGTATAAAGGAAAGCGGGAGGAGGAAGAGAGGGCGGGAGGGGGGAATATAGCGTATTTGAAACGGTAAAACCGAAAAACCAAGGAAAACAACAAAAAACCTTTTTTTCGAGAGCAAATGCAACCCATACTTTCCTACCTACCGAATACGACCTCCTAGCCGGGAATTACAACCCAGGAAGTGCTCTGACCACGGACGGTCATAATCTGTCCTCACATTTGTACCTCTTTTGCTAATTGCAGTCGAGTAACCTGCTCCAAACATTATATAAACTTATAATCAACCATCTAATAGAAGTTACCGTATGGACAAAAAGGCACTCACTCAAGTGTAGAAATCATCCATCCTACTGGCCAGCTGTTATTTGATCGATATCGTACTCGTATCCAGTTTGGCCAAAATCGTGCCACTCCAATTTCGTATCAGGCAGTTTGCGAGACACCTTCGATTCCGAGCCACTTTAGTGAATTGTGCTAATTCAGTTGTTTCTAACGGTCTTAAAAGGCGCACTTCGGCTAAGAGGGGCAGCAAGTGGTACTCAGCAAAGCTTGAACACACCACCTTGTGGAGACCTGTAAAGTGAGAGTGGCTAACTCGCACCATTTCACCATTCCGTGAGAGTTTACACCGAAATGAGACCTTCCATGAACTAGCGAAAGAATTGGATAAGTGCAAAATGCCCCCTTCAAGCCGAATAGAGCCGTGTTTCAAAGTAAAGTTTCTGTAGTGAATCCTTCATGAGCTACTCTTCCTGGAAAGTTCGGGATTTCTACACGTTGAGAAGAACTTTCCCATGACTCTATCGACATTTTGATCATACCGCCAACCTTTTCCCGAGAGAAATCTCCAAGACATTTAGGAGCGCTCAACGTTTTTTCTTTCGCACAGCGTGCTGACGATCTCGATTTTATCGTCACGGGATAGCATTAACCTATGGTAATTTACAATCTGTAACTGCCGTCGCCCGTTTGCTACACGATTTCCCAAGGACTATGAGCGATTATTCTCGTCGTTTAATACGACTGTCGTGTCGAGGTGAAGGTTGCAACAGGTAGAGGAGGACGGTCGAGAGGTGATTCAGTGAGGACGACCTTTGAGGTTGCAACACACCAGCAATTATTCGTCGTACCATCGTATAAATCGGTAAAAACATAAACCCATAACGACCAACAGGGTCATAGGAAGAACGGAGGCGATTTTCTGCTGAATACGGTTTTTGTTGACGAAAACGTGCTCCATTTCAGACTTATATTTCTGGATGGACCGTAAAGAGAGTCCGACACAGGATGGTGTAAAAATTCCATCATTCGAATATGGGTATGTTGCTTCAGACAGGGCTAATAACAGCAACTGTCAACGGTACTGCCTGTTACAGAATTACCGCACTTGGAAAGTACGACAACGCGGAACAAGTAGTACTAACTCTACCTGGACGGCATAAGATCACCAATTTCAAGAGTTTCTCCCTGTTCTGCTATAAATATGAGGTAGGCTATCTGAAAGAGAGGTCAGGTCGGTATGAATTGTTCTCTCGAATCGTTTCAGCATAACTTCGGCTCGATTGTCATCCCTGAGAACCTCATTGTTCCGCGACCTCAGTTTTTAGCCAGTGAACTAAAAGGCAGCCGGTAAGACAAATTGAAACATTTAGAGAACGACCTACGAAAATTGCTACCGTATTTCGTTTCAGCTACTCCGTCGGCTCAGGGCCAATTCTCATCATGGACAAGCGGACGATCAAGATCTTCGGCTTCACGTTCGATGCCGACAAAGCTCCTGGTAATTATTTGCAGCTTAAATTTTGCAGGTAACTGGCTCTAACTGCAATTGAGTAATCACTGCCTTTCAGATGGATACTTCTTCGTTGGACGAGGGCCAAATGTCGCTCATGATGCCGGAGTGAAAGTGCCGATTCGTGGCCGTGACACGCCAGAATTGTAAGTATCCCCTTTCGTTTTGACGTACGGGTTTTCTGTCCCTCGACTGCTGACCTGGCCTGGTATACACAAGGCGGAAGCTGTTCGATGGATGTTGTTATCAGTAGAGGAGATTTCGTGTAAACAGCTATTGTTACAACGAAATCGAGTACAGGTTAAACTAAGTGGACTGGCCAACACCAGTTTTTCAGAGCAAGAGTGAGAAACAGAGGAAATGTTGTCGTGTATCTAATGGCTTTATTAGGCCTACGTGTCGGGATTCATTGCCTGCATAGAGTGTGAGAGGGATAAAAATCCCGTTAGACCTATCCCCCTTTCCTCTCCTCCCAAATGCTTCAGCAGTCCTCAGTACCCTTTCATTAGTAGATGGAGAGAGTAGAAAAACACTCAGCGGTATCCACAGACAGCACACCTTGGTCTTCGCAGCTGCGATACGAGCACTCTGGGGGTGGCTTAAAGGCACGGTTCGCGACCGCAAATTGCGGGAAACGGAACTCAAATAGGAATGAAAAAGTGCTAAGTATCTGATTAGCGGAGAAAAGCAGCAGAAAAAGCAGTCCGAAATGTTATGGAGAGAGATAGCATAGTGGCTACTAGCTAGTAGCTAGCAGCCGGTGAGGGTCGGCATGGGCCTAAGGGGTGTCCATGGGCCTAATTAGTCAGCTTCTAGCGGAGTTCTTGCCGTTTTTCACATTTTGAAAGTAGCGCAGCCTCAAAAATCGCCTTCCGGATCGTCCGACACATTTGAGAGGTCATAGCCTTATTTTATCGCGGAATGTGCCTTTAAAGCCCGTCTCTGCGCTCAAGCAAGTCGTAGGCGACCTTCGTTGTATGATTAGTCTGGCCCTCACTATCCAAGGTTATCCCTTTTACGTGGCTTCACAGAAAGCACCGACGGCGCTGTGGCCCTCATAAGTGGCAGTTCTGACGCCTCCCTAGTTGCCCCGCCCACCAAAATTCAAAGGCTAGTTTCTATTACGACAATTGTACGCTGCGCTCTCCGCTTTTTTCACTTTTGGATAGTATTAGCACTTGATGACGCGAAGAAACGATTGGGGAGCCAAAGGCGGAAGGATATAGCATGCCTGACATGAAATGAGGAGGTCTGGAGAACTCGATTCATGAACTTTTCACTCCATGTTTCCATGATTTTTCTGCTTTTTTCATACCTGTTCAGTCATTTGGCGGCAACAGGTCTGTAATTGAACACCCATATAAAAAGCGGAGTTTCTCTTTACTGTAGACTGGTCATAAATAGGCCACGAACATGGACCAACTATATGAGTAGCGCGAATTTAATTCCACTCCTAAGGAGTAGAATCCTATAGAGAAGTAGAGAAGAGAGTAGAGAACTGCTACAGTACTCTCGGTTTGAAAAAACAACTAATCAAATACCAGTTTGCGAAGCAGTATAGTAGATTTGATGAGATCAGCTCATTAACTATTAAGAGAATAATCGGCTTTCGTCGAAAAAGTACTGTTTGCTGGTCAGGTGCTCCTCTATTGTTTAAACAGCGGGCCCGTTCGCGTGATTTTCTCACAATCTCTCTGTGAGATCAAATTCTTCTCTATGGAGCGTTTTTGGTGAGCACTTAAGAGATGGATTGTTTGAGAAGAGGGCTGGAATGACGCCGAGATTTGCTATCACACTCCTTAATGGGGATGAGAGCTCTTATGCTCCCCATTTGACCCTTACGAGTAAAGACCGCCGTTAGAGGGGAGTTGGAAAGGGCTACCTTAGCCTACAATGGAGTGGATCTGTCTTATTTCTATTTTGAAACTGTACTCGCTTTACAAGATAGAAAAAAAGTGGTAGAAGATGTTCCTCGTAGGAGATTTCGGCCCAATTATGATAGTGTTAAGAGGGGCCTGTCGTAGAACTCGACTTAAAGGGAAATGAATTCACCTCGCCAAAAAGAACTATGAGAGTTACGAGTGAAAACGTCCTTAAAAAGTGGTCAGTCATCCTAAATCGTAGGCGACCCGAGAAAAAACGGCGCTCGCGCCAGAAAGTCCGCCCGAGTGCCTGAACAGGAAAACAAAGTGTCCTATAAATCATGCTTTGCTGCATAGTTTTTCTTGGTATAAAAAAGTTAAGGTCTTCTAATGTCCTTCAGATATTTCCGACGAAAACTTGATAAAACCGCTTCTAAGAGAAACTAAAAACCTTTTCAATCTTATAAAAGCTGCTTTGCTCTGATGAGTTTGTGCTCTTCGAAAAGATGAAACGCTGTTTAGCGAACGATCATCTTCAAGCTCGTCATACCATGAATTATTCTTCTGTATGAGCTTGAAATCTATAGGTTTTGATGGAAGTCAAGCTCGAGCTTATGGAAGTCAGCAGGAAGTCAAGAACTTAGCCCCACTTCGAAGAGGGGCTAAGCTCATAAGTAAATTAATGTAACAAATATATTGACTAAATGGCAAACCCATTCAACATCTCCAGTACTTTGTCATGTTTTTGAAACGTTTTAGTATTTTAATTGCTGTTTGAGGCCGCAGTTGGCACCCTGAAAGTTATCACGGGAATCCCGATGGCGTAATGGAGAACGCACTCGCCTGAGATGCACGTTGAGGGAGATTCCCTTATGGGGTCCGGACTTTTCCGCATACATGAGGCAATCCAGGTTCCACTTCTCCAAGGAGCTACATCGTAAAAGGAGAAATTCCCATTCGGAACGTAACTCGATATTTTCGTGTAATATCCTCTAAACATATGCTGGAGAGGAAAATACTACATAGTAGACTCGTGTGTAGTCACGTGAAGACGTAGGTAGTGCTGTCAAATCTGGGCATCAGCATTCGAAAGAAGAGTAGAGGTAATTGCTGGGGTTAGGAGGGTATATGTACACGATATGTACCCTGTTCTCTGGGGGATAAGGCGACTAGAGGTGGCAAGTGGCACGTTTACCGTGCGCGCGGTCCGGTGGTCAAAACCCGCTACGACTATCGCTCAGGCTAACGAAGCCATCTTTCTTCCGGGGACGGCAAATTGGTAACATGTTCGTCTAGGAGGATAAGAACACTGACTTATACGGGGCTGCCCCCCCCCACCTCCCGCGAGTTATAGGCCACATCGCATTGAGTGAGCCACTATAATTTTGAATGGAGCTAGAAGGCAAGCTACATCCCAAGAGGGGACCAACGGCGGGGACTTTATCTATGTAACGCGCACCTGTGTTAGGGCGCCAAAGTGTACTTTCCTGTGTGTTTTTGTGAATGAGACTGATCCTTCTGGAATAATAGACAATTAGAAGAATTAGACAAAAAAACTAAAGAGCAATAACTACTAATAAGTACTTGAAGTTCACAGAATGAGCACATCATTGCGAAAGGGAATATCCTTCACCCCTGAGCGTTGAAATGGGATATTACAATGCCGTGGCAATAGTGAAAGTCAGCAATATGTGAGAAAAAAAACTTCTAAAGAGTACAGAACACGGCTCCCTCCCCTCGCAACTGGGAACTGGTGTTACTTGTATCCAAAAGTTTTCAAATGCTTTTCTAATGAAGAAGCAAGAGAGAAGTGCTTCGAAAGGCACTCACAAATTAAATAAAAGGACCGTTTCGCCTTTTCTCATCTAACCCTTGTTATTATATTTAGTTCGTCAACCTAGGGATCATCAGTAGGATGAGCTCGACAGCATAAGCTCATAGAGAAATAATCAAGGAATTACTCAACTCACTAACCTTCCATTCAACGACTAGTAATCGATTTCATCGAAAAGCGTGAAATCCAAAACCTACTCTGAGAATCGGTTTCGGCGATCATTTTGCACGTTCACATGTGAACGACACGTGATGGTCGGGCACCCCCACTGTTCTCGTTTGATAGCAGCAGAACCACTTTACCTGCCGTAGGTGGCACCATCCTGATCTCTGACTACACACAAAAAAACCAAGGACATCATGCTATTCCTCTTCCAGTCCTATAGTCCCAGCATGTGATCCTGTCGGCTGACCTCCTGACCTCTGTACTACATCATCGCCCTCATCTGCTGAAGGGCACTGCACCACAGTGCATCATAACAAAGTTCTTCATTACTGGTTTTTATTAGCTTTATTCGAAAAGAAAAGCGTCGTTCTGCGGGAATCAACCAATCCGGGTATTCAAAATGCTTCTCAATATTGCGGGTATTAAAATCACTTTCAAACGAAAGAGCATCTACCGCTTTTTCAATGTATTTCTTGTTGCCAGCATAATGTGAGTTTGATCACAGAGTACTTGACAAGATAAAATTCTGTTTTACAATTTTGCTCTAACTTCATAACAAAGAGCCTCGTTATGACAAAAAATAAGTTATTTATTGAAGTTATTGATTTTAGGATCACCGCGATGAATGAGCGATATCGCGGCGGTCAGGACCTTATTATTGATCTACCAGCCGACTACGATATCCAACACGTGGATTGGTTGGCCATTTACTGTTACAAATTCCGTGTCGATTTCGGTCATGTGGCCATTTCAAATGTGTCATCACGAATTCCGCCATACGTACCACCACAGAAAAGGGTGAGTTACATATATGCGCTGTTGATTGACTAAGTGATCCATGCCTATTGACTGACTCGGTGACCTACGTTTATCTGTTGACTAGGTGACCTTCGTTTATTGATTGACTAGGTGACCTATGTCTATTGAATGGCTAAGTCACCTATGTCTATTGATTGACTTAGTGACCTACGCCTACTGACTGACTAGGTGACCCATGCTTATTGACTGGCTAAGTCGCCTGCGTCTATTGATTGACTGAGTGACCTACCTTGACTACTATGAACGATAAGTCAATAAAACGATTATGAAGGACAAGTTAATGAGACTAAAAAACGTCTAAGGTCAACATTGATACCATCTTGTCTACACAGAGATGGAACGATGAAAAAATGCCGACATCGGGCGATAATTGCGTTTCCATTCATGCATTGGCGCAACGACTTTGATTTTACACTTATCCTACAAAAAATCTTGATTTAGACTAATACGATTACTCGAGTCTTTGTTGCATGTTACTTGTGAAAAGGTTAGAAACAAATAAGAACACAAAAAGTGGTTGGAAGAAAGAGCGAAATCTAATCTAGCGAAACAGCATGAAAATAAAAGGGTAGATATCGATGGGGTCGCGAAAAGATCAATAAGCCGAGGTAATTAGAGGTAATAAGGATAGACCACTCGAATTCTTCTCTTGATTCTTCTACGTTTGCTAAAGTTTTCTTCTCTTGATTCTTCTACGTTTGCTAAAGTTTTGGAACCATTTCTGCGAAATTAAGTATGTTCACTGTTGATCTCTCACCGCTCATGATCTACCTACAGTACCATCTCAAAGTTTAGTTCGATGACGTTGCAACAACTGTTGAAGGATGGCCGGTGACGTCATTGCTGGGAAATGACAATCGACGAAACTTCACATTTCAACTAGGAGTTCCCGGTGGAAAGAAAGGATATCAAGTACGGACCTTCTAGAAAACCATATTTTCAATGATATTCAAGAAATTCCTGTTTCAGTCAATGGCTCGTGCACGGCCAGCCAAATACGTGTGGTATGTGAACGGCATGCTAGCTGATCTCTATTTGAAACGCGGTGTAACCTACACGTTTATGTGAGTAACACCGCTTTCCGCAATTGACATTTGGCACAATGCCAATTTGGAATCAGTCTGGAGAATAGAGCAGAGACAAAGGGCGTCTGGGACGACCATTGGCCCACGTGGTATGACCACGTGGTTTCATGACGCAGATGAAAACATAGTGATAAATAAAAGCGAAATGTCACCATCTATCAAGTTCAATAGAACGGAAAATCGATTTTGGAACGATTTTCAGAGTTGAAGGCGGATCTGACAAGTCTACATCGGATTTCTTCAATCCACTTTATATTTCTGATGATCAGTTCGGTGGCTATGGCAAGCTAAGCAATGAAGAGAAAGAGGTAGTCTTTCTAGTAATAATTGATATAAAACTCACATGATGAATGAAAAACTAACTGGTAGCTTTGGCAACCTGGAACTAGAAATTAGGGGAACAGGGCTCTGAGTATGTCCAAATAACATTGGGTTATTTTTGAAAGTTCTGAGAAACCCAAGACGACCCTCTCAAAACTTCTAACTTAAGTGTATCTCCATGACCTCCTTGTATTACTGAAGTAGCTTTCGATCTCTAAGCAAAGGACGTAAGCACTTGAAAACTTGACGTGCTTCTTTTCAGTATGAAATATGGGGTATTTCGTCCTTATTTTTTTTGAACCCACTCCCTAAAAAGATCTTCTATTATGTGTGAATTTTCCTCGGTTACCAACAATCATAAAACCCCCAACAAATCGCCAATTTACCTTTGTACGGTGCTATTCAAAATAATTACCAACACCTTCGCCACCGCGACAAGGATTGAAATTTGATAATTTTTCAGAGTGAGGGGGGCAGGGAAAACACATGTGTAGTACAGTACCGGAAAAAAACTTGAAACCGGTCGGAAATCGCCTTATTCAACTGTTCTGTTGTCCTGGGTGACTTCGAGGTTTAAGCAGACACGAATCTGCAGGTGTTTTTTTGGGATTTTTTATCTTCACGAAAAACTTCCGAGTAAAATCCAAGAAAATTTTACGAAACTCTTGGAAAGGGGATTTTTGGCCTAATCTTAGCTGCCGTAGTTCTGATTCCTCTTCGGCATGCCATTAGAGAGAACGAATACGAAGTTATTTTATTTATTACCACTTACTTATATCAGCTGAACTCAACTTGGAGATTTTTTAAGAGTATTACAAAAAGATCTGAAAACTTGGAATGGCTACCATGCTGCTTACTTACAATTTGGGAAATTCCATTATTTTTCAGCAAGTCACTGTCTACTCCGGCTCCGATCCATCACGAGTGTCCGGCCGACTGTGCCTCTGGTCAAATGATGGTGAGTGATTGGAAGATAATTGCGTACTTTACAAGAGATTTATCCGATCTCTCAAAATTTCCTTTGGATCAAATTTAAACCAGTTGAAGGCAACTCGCCAGTAATTCCAAATCCACTGCAGAGTATTAGTTTATTTTTTGAATTGTGGAGACTGTGCCCCTTTGTGATGACAGAACAACAATCATTTGCCATTTGAATTCTTTAGGCATGTCTCCTTCCCAGGCCACTTAAAGATCACATTGTCGGGTAGAATGGACGGGGGTGGTGGTGGGGGGCAAGGAACAAAACTTGATAAGATTACTCTTCTAGTTAGTGTTCCGCGCTATCATAAAAACCTACTGATAGCTCTACGAGAAAGAGACGTACAGACGTCTTTATCATTACTAAATGCCGTTTCAGCAGAGAGAACGCCGCCGTGGTGTTCTTTGCTATTGCCTCTGCAAGCGGTATTTCTCAGCACAAGAAACTAACCCAATACTTACTCTTCTTTTGAGACGGCGCGCCAAAAAATAATATCGGAAATTTACAAAAAATTATCACGATGCTGTGTCAAATATTCGTAAAACCTATACGATATAAAAAAAATTCCCGCGAAATCTTGAAAAATTTGATCTGGTACGCCTTCGATCCTATCAAAAGAAGGCTTTCTGTGCTATATAATTGAACCAACTGATTCATGATACTTGCTGGAACCGCTATTCTTTTTTCTCAACCAATACATATACCTAGACAGACAAAGTCCAAAAATTTCCAAGTGGATCAGACCACATCAAATATTTAGCGCTAGTCCAGCTCCTTCCTACCTTGGACTAACTTGTTCTGGTCCCTGGAGAAGGCAATATGAAAATCTGAACATTAGCGCGAACTCTCAGGCTCCTGTGTAGTCCAGCTAGCGGCAGAAAGGCTCCAGCCATAGGCGTCGAGATGGATTCACATTTGTGACAAAACACGAATAATCTAGTTACGAACTTTGAATTTACAAACTAATAGCCTTAGAGGGGGGGGGGCAGAAAGGACTCCTTGTGCTAAATTCGAAGTACCATTATTCGAATAGAGATATCGCACTTCAAATCGGTCACACGCACTAGAACTCCTTTCCTTTCTTTCAAAGCGGAAATCCACATCTCCATTCCGGTAATCGTAGCTCCTCTAAATGTCCTGTCCAAGGTTTTTAGCACCTAAATTCGCAATACAAACTCACCATTGCTCCCATACATCTATTTCTTTCGAGCGCCCATAATTCAATGAGATCTAAAGTTTGAACATCCGGGCAACAAATCTACCGACATTATCGGGATTTGCTATTTTGAAGAAAAACTTTATTGTTTTACAACTATATACACTCCATATCCCTGAGCCAGAGTAGGCGTGGCATTTGAACATGGCACGGAACTGGTTACTCGTGGAATATTCCAGTCTGGGACAACTGTCATCTTGTTCTGTGTTGGACGTGTTGTGTTGAGACACGACAACAATTGTGTCAAGATGAAAATATCTTACCAGAAGCATAGACAGCTTCAGGTTAGGTGGAACCATGCAGCCACGCCTACCCGATCTCAGGGATTTTGAGTATATCTTAGAGAAGACCACCTTTTTTCAGAGAATCCATCACCCAACCCTTGTGTCGACTCATACCGTCCTGATCATGATCATGATCCAATCATACCGTCCTTTTTGCGTTTTTAGTTCATTGACATCATGCTTGTTCAGAAGGGTGAAAACATGACTAGCAATCAACTGACCCCAAAAATAAGTGTTTAGGGCATCCCATGCCACTGCGATACTAAGTATAGGTGGAATGTGTGGCGCATCTCAGAAAGGAATTGTTCACAGTCATAATTGGAATGCTTATGACCTTAAGAAGACTTGGAGTTTTTGTGACTGTCATGCAAAATCTGTGTTTGTTTCAGAAACCGTGGACGAATCGCAGTTTTCCACTTTCGCCGATTTCCGAAAAACTCTGCATCTGAAATGCGAAACCGACAAGGTCGCTGCGCTATTTCAATTCACACCTGATGAAAAAACACCTGACACACTCTACTACCAGGTAAATCTAACCTTTTCATTTGGAAAGCCCTGAAGTTGACAATCCTAGCAAGTAATAAAGAGTAAGTCCGCTTTAAAATCATATGACGATACGTACGCACTGCGCAAAGGCTGCTCTTGAATACTCTTGAGTATTAAAGTGTATTTCTCAGTGCCTTTCAATAGGAGCACATTAATTACCAGTGATTCAACGACGTTCTCTTGAGCTATTCCATTCGATTTTCTCAATTTTGCGAGATATTACTCAGAATACCGACGGGGGTTTCCACTGCTGGAATTCAGGACCTATGAAGTTTGCTAAAACTGATTGGTAACAGGAGACGCTCCTTTCCAAAGCAATCTTCCTATACCGATGATAATACCCAATCCATCCATCTGCGTGGGTCCTCCGACAGGTAAAAGACGTAAGGGTTGATATCCTAGGGTTAGGTGCCTGGAATTCATGCTGTCGATGAGCTAAATACGTCTTCAAAATTTGTAAGGTTCCATTTGGGAGTGTGACCCTTATGGCATGTTAGCGAGCCAAGTCACAGTTCACTACCTTGTTGGCCTACCTACTTACTTTGCAGAGTTGAAGAAATACTTCTGGTGTTCGAACGAACTTGTTGCTAGGGCTTCTATTGAAGTCCTGACAGTTCGTTTTTCTCAGGCTCAGTCCACACCTGCACGTGCTGAGCAAGCTCAATCCGGTTTCCAGAATGCCTGGAATAAAAAAAAGGCACGGTGCTTAATGGGGCAAAAAATGCTACGCAGCGAAATCTGTACATGCCACCCCATGAAGACCAGCAAACTCTCGTAGCCCAGGTGGTTAACTTGTACCATTTTACAGCTTTGATGGGTCTGCACGTCTTACCAAAATGAGACGTGTCAGCTAACACGAACTAGCTGAAAGAAGTAGCTAAAATGCAAAAAGCCGTTCTCAAGTCGAACACCGTCTAAAACATCCATCTAACAATTTCATTGGCGTAAGTGGTCATAAATAAGCGGGGTTTCAAGAAGAGGGTGCTGGACAAGCGCCAAGATTCATTGTCTACGCAATTCCTAACACTAACTAAAGATGGTCCCTGTGTGAGTCGATCACTTCGCTTGTCAGAGAAACTCTCTGGTGAATCGAAGTGAATGGCACAATGCTAGACAATGGTGGCCGCGTGAACACCGGCGTTTCTTTCAGCACAACGTCCACTGATTTACATGACAACGACGAGTCTGAACGCCAGATCCATTGAGTTTGTAATGTCGTCGATTTGCACTTCTATACCCTTTTCTCCCTCCAGTTTGATTCATCGCGCGCGCACTTCACTTCACCTTGGCCAAACCCCTGATTGTGAATTTTTATTTGTCGCGGGCATCAGTAAATATGTCACTCAATAAAAGCCGATTCGGCGTCCGTGTGCTAGACAATTGCTTAACGGCCTCTGATAATACACCTGCCGGCGGATAATTGAAATCATGAAAGTTGGTACGTAGAACTGCAAGAATTGATCATGTTGGCCTCGCAGAACAAAGATGAAAACATGATTGATATTGTGTGCTAATTTAGGCCTTAGCCGCAAATAATACGATTTTATTTGATTGGATTCCACAACCTGTTGTCAGGCTAGAGTTGGAGCTCAGATTCTAAAGGTGAAAGACGGAAACGTGTTGAAGCTCTTTCAAACACCACAATGTCTGAGACAACAGGGTCAAACACTTGCAACCCTCCCTAATCTTGAGCAATTAAAAAAATCAGTATTAAATGTGGAATCACTTTTGCCATATAAAACAACCCATTTTTCTTGTTCCCTCCGAAAAAGACCTTTTACACTCTACCCTTTAACCCAAGTCAGATTTTCTAACAAAAGTTGTTTTCAACATAGATTTTTCTACAAGATTTCCTCCAGGTAGTTTGACCACTGATGACGAATGTCGCACTCGTTCAACGCAGGAAGATCTACCAGTTGTGGGTTGAAGTCAGTCGCTTTGGCCTCACAGTTTGCAAACTTGGAGAGCCGAAGTTTTGACGAAAAGAAAGAGATGTTAGAAATCGGCTGACCGCACTAAATGTGCGCCCTAGAATCTTGATCTGCGAAAGCCTCAAAGACAAATTTTCCAGCCAGACCACAACTCAAACTCTCACTCAACTTCCGAATGTGATGCAGGAAAGAGTGATTACCTCGAAAAGTTTTTATCTTAAGGCGCACTATGAATGAGGTCCTGGTAAGCCGCAGTTGGCACTCCGTCCATTTGAAGGTCGCGCTCTCTTCCCTTTTCTTCAGCGCTCACAGTGGCCCAATGTCCACTGTGAGCGCTGAAGAAAAGGGAAGAGAGCGCGGGGGTGTACACGTACACTGTATTTTCCTCATGTTCTGAGGCGAAAATGAGTATTGTGGTTGTTATAGGTGCGTCTAAGCGTAAACAACTAAATAAGTAGATGAATTAATTTATTAATTGATAAGTAAGTAAATAAGGATGTCAAACAGCCTCTGTAGGCAACTTCATAGCAATCTGATGAGCAAAGCGGTTAGTCGCTGTATGGCCACAATGAATGCCGGCTCTGGGACTGAACGCTTATCTACATTTCATTGTTGATAGGGGCAAGGTTTGAGCGGAAAATCTTGATGCTGCTATACTCAATGACGCGACGACAAGAGCCTGTCCGCTCTTCTACGCCCTACCATAACCGCGCGGATTCTGGTCATCTACTAACCACCTCTAGAAGAACCCTGAGAACTCTTTAGTCCCAACAGAAGCAGTTTTCAAGCTCTCTTCTTCACTTCTATTTTGGTTTTTCCAGAGGCGCTCAGAAAGAGAGGGACCTCGGTTTGGTAGCCTACGAAGTTACCCCTACACCACCAAAGGACCGTTCCTACGCCCTTCATTGCCTCCTTGGTAACTTTGGGTTTGGTGGGAGAAGGGAACACATTCACGGCTCTCAGCGTAGCCTTTGCCAATTACGGTAGCACCGAAATTCCTGAGCTTTGACGTCGTAACGGTTGAGTGCTACCAATATTACTATATACAATTTTAAAACTACATTTTCAGAGTTTCTCAAATTACAACATGGGATGGAAGATCCATATTGTAAATGAGTTCCCAACGAATATTGCTGATGTCAAAGAAGAGCCGTATGTTTATGAGCAATGGCTGCAAACGCAGTCCGTTCAAGCACCACACACATCGTCTACATCATTAGTCGGACTCACCTTTGGTGCACTTATGTTGTTCGCCATTTCGTGGCTGTTCTGAGATTGTTGCCCCGATCTCGAAGCGGGTCTTCTTAGCCACAAATTTTGTTCTTTCATTCAATCAATGGGGTTTGTTTAGCTCTCACAATTCTTTGTCTTGATGATTATGATTACATAAGCTCTATATATACACTCCATATCCCAAGTATGGAGTGGGCGTGGCTGCAGACTTCGCTGGAGGGGCGGCGGATGCACTCTTGGTAAGATTGCCGTTTGGGCAGTTGAGATCATGTCGTTGTTCTTCAAAAGATGGGATGACCGTTGCCTAAATAGAACTATCTCACGAAAGACGCATCCTACGCCATGTTCCAGTGAACTGCGCAGTCACGCCCACTCCACCCCAGGATATGAGTGAATGTGTGTGTATTGTTGATGATGCGAGTTTGTTTTGTTCATCTAGTTCATCGATGCCGATGTGTTTCACTTGAAGAACTCCATTATGGGAGCAATAATTCATCCTTTAATCCTTTTTCGCAAATCTTCATTCTTTTATTCTTCCTAGTGTCATAATCCTACTTTTACTGCTATGTAGCGCTAGTAAAACGGTCGTCTTGTGATGTATGTGAAGAGTTTTGTAAATGTAGCTAGCTTGATCGCGCGTAACTTCTTTGTACACAATTTTCCGTTTACAAATGGCTCATTCCACTTATTATTTTTGCGAGAAAACATATGTTCAGCTCTGATATCACTATTGCTCTTGTATAAGGACTTCCTAGGCTTTCATCCGTGTTTTCTTCACGTTCTTTCTTTTTTCCAGAATCGTACACAATGATAAGTGATAGTGATGTCGTCCGGCAAGACATTAAACGTTTTTACAGTACAAGTGTTGCATTACACGAGGAATCCTACCCTTGCAGCAACAAACATCGCCGTTGAACACACTCTGTGTCCTGGAAATAGATAGGTCGTAATTACGTAATCGGTTATGCGCGTGGCAGTGGAATTGACAAAAATAGTAGCTCCTGCCAATGAAAGGATTTGCCTTTTGCCTTTGAAGCCTGATGACACCCAACTGATTAAACTGAAGCCTGGCGAAGTAGAGTAATACTATAAAGAACCGCAGCCACAAGTCCGCAATTGCCTCGGAAATCCCTGAATGGGGTAGGCGTGGTTGTGCCTTTGGTGGGATATTTTCATTTTGACTCAGTTGTGGTCATGTCTCTGTCCAACACTGACCAAGATGACACTTGTCTCAACCTGAAATAGCCAACGAGTAACCCGTTCTATGCCATGCCCGAATGCCACGCCCACTCCGTCTCAATGATAAGGAGTGTGCGACCCTTCTCACCGTGGGATCTCAAGTGTAGGCGAAAGCTAATCGTGCAGACGCTGAGCACCTTCAAAGACACTATACTTCAGAGACACGGTAGTAGTTCCTAAATCGTGAACCAGTAGCCCACAAACAACTCACCAGTGGAGAAAGGAGCGGGGAAAAAACCTTGGGACAGTTTGAACAGAGACCCCCTAGTGGGGCCGGCTTCTTGGACGAGTTTGTCGGACGAAGGTAGGCCCAGTCAGGAGGATTCGAGGCGCAACCATTTCCCGGCAAGAGCACAGATCACCCTACGACGCTCCAGGCAACGCTATGTACTTGCGCAATTTTTTTGTAAGCCGTTGTCTTGCAGAGTGAAAGTAATCGTGGTTGCATGGTTGCAATAATTACGCGTCTCTAGCTTCTTTATCTCACCCTTTCGAGTGACGAAAGTGGTATATTCTCTGCAAATGCGGACAACGATGCCAAATGCATGGAGGCATTTTGCGGTCCAAATGATCGTGGAAATTGTCTATGTGCGAAATGCATTGTAGTTGG